AGTCCATATAGGAAAGACTAACTAGAATCAAATCCAATCTAGGATTTACACAATCACACTTAAACTAGAAAAGTTTACAACATCCCCCCTTGAGTGTGTAAATACTCAAGATAGGTTCGGCATGATGTAGAAGTTGAGGAAGTAGACTCGTCAGCACTGATTCTGGGAACAATGCTATTCTCAATAAGGTAGGAACTTGCATAAAGAAGTAAGTCTCACTAAAAAACCTTAAGGTTATGGCAAAAACCTGAGTAGGGACAAAATCTATAGTCTAAGGAAAAATGCATGAGAAATGCAAAGTCAAATGAAACGTCTACGGGATGTCATCAGGGATATGATCAACCCAGGGTGGGTGCCTCGTTAAAACCTAGTTAGGTAATAGAAATCCAATGGGAAAGATACTCCTAATCATATGGGAAAAGAGTACATTAAGATTGAGTTTGACATAATTCTAAAGAGAACTAGCAATGTTACAACTCAAATAGTTACGCATACCAATTCCTTAAACAAGCTTCTGAAATGTCATATACGGTAGTGATTTGGTGAACACGTTAGCCAGATTGTCTTATGAACGGATTTGCGTGACTTCAATCTTCTGATGCTCTTGTTGTTGATATGAGAAGAAGAACTTCAGCACAATGTGCTTAGTGTTGTCTCCTTTGATATAATCCTTCTTGAGTTGTTCGATGCATGCTGCGTTATCTTCATAGATCGTCATCGGGACATCAACGATGGGGTAAAGATTGCAAAAGCTTCGAATGTGGCCCATAACTTCTATCAACCAAAAGCATTCCCGAGTTGCTTTATGTAAGGCGATAATTTTAGCATAGTTAAACGAAATGGCAACTAAGGTCTGTTTAGTGGAGCAGGATTCGAACGAATCTTGTCATAAATTCAACTATATTTTCTATGTGGGTTTCAACGTGGTAATTGTTATCTCTAATGTCCTTAAAACTCAACAACGTTCTTCCAGAACACGGAGAATAAACTGCCTCATCAATGGTCAAAATTGTACCATTGGACAACATTATATGTGCCTTACCGTATCCTTCGATCAGGTTGGATGGGCATGAGAGGATTGTCAGAGGTGCATTCTTAGATATGAAGTCAGTGAAATAGATGCGTTCATGCAAAACGATGTGCGTGGTTGCACTATTTGCCAGACAACTAACTTCCCACTAGTCATACCTAGAATGAAAAATTAATTTGAATCGGTCACATGCATAAAAGTTCTAAAAATTAAATATGCATTCAAAATAAATTTAAGTATCCAAGGACGGTAATTAATTAAAAACTTAATATCCACAAACAATCACCAATAAATAATCCAAACATAAAGGAAAATTGTTCAAAATTTAACCCAAAAAACACAAGGTGAGGTTCGGCCACTACTGTGGAATTCGGCCTTAATGTCTATATTTCAACTAGAAAAATAGTTTATGTCTAAGATTCTAATCTTCCATAACGGTAACAGCCTCTTGAAAGTCAGAAACCTCCATCTTGGTACTCTTCGGTTCGTCTATTTGCACAAAGTTTGATTCAAACTTCTTACGACGAGAATGATATTTAGCTACAACCTTCTGGGAGCTTGGCAAACACGAGACCAATGGTCCTTTGAACCACAATGATAGGACATTTATACATCCATGGTTTCAAGGGCTTTGCCCTTATTCTTGAAGTTTGGAGCCTTAGGAGTAAGGTTAGGGCACTTTTGGGCTTTGTTTCCTCCTTTATATTGGCCTTGACTCTATCGACCTTGTCAGGGTGGCTTCTGGCAGCCCCTACCATGCCTCTTTTGGCTTTTTGGGGGTTGGTTTGTGTTATAGTGCGCTTCAGGCATAGTAGTCGCCCCAATATGTCAAGCTTGATGATTTTTCATGAACTGCTGATTCTGCTTTTCAGCAAGAAGTAAAACAGAGATCAAATTTGAAAACTTAGTGAACTTCTGAGCTTTATATTGTTCTTGCAGGACAATATTAGTAGCAGAGAAGGTCGAATAGGTATTCTCTAAGAGATCTTCTTCGGTCAAAGTTTTCTTACAAAACTTGAGAAGTGATCAGATTCGACAAATTTCAGAATTGTATTCATTCACATATTTAAAGTCTTGGAAGCCCAAATACTTCCAGTCATATCTTGCTTCAGGCAAGAAGATGTCATTTTGGTGATCAAAGAGATCAGCCAAAGCGGCCTATAGTGCTCATGGATCATTCTCAGCAAGGTACTCAGTTTGTAGGGAATCATGAATATGTCTTTGCATGAAGATCATGCAATGGCTTTCTCAGCTTCGCCAACCGAGTTGTCTGTCTCACCTTTAATGGCAGGACATAAATTCTTTGCAGTGAGGTGGAGTGAGGTAGTTCCTTCCAGAGACCTCCAAAGCGATGAAGTCGAGTTTGTTCAAATTCGACATGTTCCTATCACAAAATAGATAGACAAGATGTGGCTAGTGTAATAGAGAAAAATATCAATCCATTCACATAGGAGTAGAACATTCAGGTTCAAATAGACATGTATTGGTTAAAATTCGCATGAAAAACTTCAGGTTTTCATGGGTGATGTTTTTAAGGAAAACTTCAAGTTTTCAAATAAGGCATGTTTCTAAAAACTTCAGGTTTCGAAATAATTATGAACTTCAGGTTCACATGTTCCTGCAGACAAACGCAAATATATACACAACAATATGTAACAAGAAAATATGCAAATAGAACTTCAGGTCTATAATTATAATTGAATGAATTATTTAGACTTTGTAACAAATTTAAAGTGTGGGTGAAATAATTATAAAACCCAACGGGCCTAAATATAATTAGGCAATTAAAGTCGGGGCCTAAAATGATACGTCAAAGCCCACGGGTAGGCTAAGTAATGTGAAACGTACAGCCCAAGCCTAAAAATTAGGCTGCGTTAGGCTAGGCTGGGTTGCAGGCCCAAGACAGATAGGCACTGATCGATTATGTCGCAAGCCGAAGTACCAGATCATTAGCTACAGGCTGGGATCAGGTGTGGTTGGGTGTAGGGAACTCCTAGAGCCCTGCAAGGGCTTGGTTCTATTGTAGTGAGGACACAGTGACACCAAAGCCCAATTGGGATAACATCACAAGTAGGCCGAGAGATAGGAGTTGCGACAACAAATCTAAACGCTAAATCCGAGTTTAGATTTGGGCCGAGAAGAGCCAAAGGCCAAAAGGCTTGGTTTTTGGATCAGAAGAACAGTGCAGCCGTGTTTTGGGTGTGCTTGCTAAGGAAGAATGTCGGACTCGTCACTTCTGGGGCAGTCGGAGGGGTATGGTTCACCGTAAAACCTTTTCCTAGGTGACGGGGAGTCAAAACTCGATGTCAACGAACCAAGAAACCCTCGAGTTCGAGTTAGGGTTTTGAACTCAGACGAGATTTCAAAAATCTCAGCCATGATTTCGATGGGGATGACTTTAGATCATTGAGAAAGCAGCTGTGGTGGCTAGGCATGGTTGCAGACCATGCTTATGTTAGAAATCGATGGTGACACCGATGATGGCGTCAGGTTCTGGGTTTGGAGACTTATGGGGCTCCATGGTCTTGGCTTTGGGTTCAAACAAATCCAAAAAATAAAAAATTCAATTCAATTGCATGTATAACTTGAATAAATGAACACATATTTGATGCAATTCATGGCAATATCAAATTCATATAATTCAACAATTATGAATATAATGCATACACAATTTATGTAGAATCTAAAAATCAAATAACATAAAGTTGGATCATGCATTATGGTGAATGTTCATGCTATCTGGGTTGCAAAAATATCGAGATAAAAACCGTTGTTTTGGAAGAACCTGATTGCGTAAGGATATCGATAAACTGGTTTGATGCAAAAAGCTTCCACGTCAGATTCCTAAGCCCAGCGGTAGGAGCGTGTTGATAACGTGTCGTGGCCTATTTTATCTAACAGGGGGAAGGAGGCCAATGACAAAGAGAGAAAAGAGAGAGATGTGTTTGTAGAATTGTATGGAGGAATGTGTGTGTTATTCCCTCCTACATAGTGCCTTTATTTATAAGAGGGACAAGAACTCCTTCATCCCTAAGGAATACAAGTCCATATAGGAAAGAATAACTAGAATCAAATCTAATCTAAGATTTACACAATCACACTTAAACTAGGAAAGTTTACAACAATTAGTAACTTTATTATAATTATCTATTTTGAAAAAGAATTTTTTATGTTTGCCAAAAAAAAAAAAATAGAAGTTTTATGTTGTATAACAAGAAAGGGTAATGTTAGGGAAACTAAATTTGGAGGCAAAAATTGCAAACTAAATGATGTGTCACTAATAGGAATGAACACGTTTATCAACTCTCAAGTAATAAACCAATCAACTTCCATATCCTTTAGTTTTCAAAATTTAGTCTACAAATTTAGTCTCCCTAACATTACCTAATAAGAAAGTGTATAAGTGGATTTTTAGTGCATAATTCACTTAAGGGTAATGTAAGGGAGACTAAATTTGTACAAAATTTTGAAAATTAAATTTGTAGACAAAATTTTGGAAACTAAAAAACATGGAAGTTGATGATTGGTTTGTTAATTAAGCGTTCGTAAACGTGTTTATTTCTATTGGTGACACATCATTTAGTTTGCAAATTTTGTGTCCAAATTTAGTCTCCCTAGCATTATTACCCTTAACTTAATTTAGTGTTGCGTACAAGTATAATCAAATATGTTATACAAAGCTGAAATTTTGATCTCTATAACGCGCCAAAATGCTGCAGTAGTAATTCTTTGTGGATTTTGGTCGGAAAATGCAGGACTTGTGATATTCCTCTATTTCTATCAAAACTTGTCTAGCTGTCTATCTGATCACCGTACCGGATATCCAAAGGTAGGTCTCTCTCTCTCTCTCTCTCTCTCTCTCTCTCTCTCTCTCTCTCTCTCTCTCTCAGAGTCAACCATTGTATGATGGGAACTAATTGTTTGCTACTGCATGTAATATCAAATTACTATTTCTGGATTTTTTAGTAGAATGGATAAGATTAGAGAGGGGAATCAGAACCAACTTGTATCTGGGACATTCAAATGGAGAATCGAGAACTTCTCTAAGATGGACAAGGAGAAACTTTACTCTCAAGTTTTTGTCGTCGGTGGTTCTAAGTGGTACGTATGCTTTTGTTTTCAGCATTTCCTATTCCTCTTCACTTGCATGCATACTCAGATTTTTGGTGTGATGTTTCCCCGTCCCCTTGCAAAGCAGAGATTTTTGTTGGCTTGGGAATGTGAATGGGGATTTCTTGGTCACTAGTGTAGCTAGTAGATTCCCTTTCCTCCAAGTTCATATTTCTCTGTACTTAGGATTTTATTCTAAGCTGCCCAATTCACTCGAGTTGCACCCCGTAATATAATTGTGGATGTGTGTTTATTATCAGGCGGATACTTTTATGTCAAGGGTGGAAGAACACAAATCTTGCAGAGCAGTTGTCTTTGTATTTGGGTGTTGGAGATGTTTCGACATTGCCAACGGAGTGGAGTAGATTTGCCCATTTTAGCATGACCCTGGTCAATCAACTTGACACCAAGAACTCCAAAACATGGCCTCCAAAGGGTATTTTCTTACCATTCATGTTTGTGTTTTTCTCCGATGTCGTCTTATCTTGTATGCCAAGGCTAGCCAGCAATAGTAGTATACGGAAGTACAGACCTCAGGCTAGAGCTACTGCTACTTTCGTAGTTACAACTTTAGGGTTCATATATTGTGATCCAGTTTTAGTATAGCAGACAATACTACATTCACTTGAGATGTTTCGTTTCGAAATCTATGACAAATGGAACATTCCGTAGAATACACCTTCTTTTTTTAATTTTTTTTTTTTTTTTTTTTTTGCCCTTTTTTTGCCCTTTTTTTGGCTTCAAGTAGAGTTGTAAAATGAGATTTTTATTCAACGTGTGCTGCATGGCCCTACAACATTACCATTACAACGGGCATAGCACGTTGTGTCTTGCTAAGCATAGTGTGAATATCTGTACCAAGAACGACGTGAGTCTATGTTCCTACTGAGTCAAGACGGAGTTATAATGGTACCTCCATATATCTTTCTGTCGTACAGTAAGTGGGTTGTAGTTCCACTTATGCTCCAGGGATTGAGGGAGGTGTTGGAGAATAAAATGAATTGTAGTTTTAGTTCTTAGTTCAGTTACAATATTATATCATGTGTGATTTAAGTTTTTCAACATGGTTATATGTATGGTTACTGTTGTCAGTAGCTTTTATTTTTATTTTTTATCATTGATTGAATTCAAATGTATCAAAACCGAGGGCAATGACATTCTAGAATTCATATAACCGACTCCACTTAGTGGGATAAGGCTTTCTTCTTGTTGTTGATTAAATTCAAATGTATCAGAACACTTCTGTAGTAACTTTGACATGGTCCTCCTTTGTTATTGTTTCCTTATTGTCTGGTGATGCCCTTTACATATTTGTTTTTTCGTTCCTTGATATTTTGGTTCGCAGGCAGTGTTCCCCAAGAGTTCAATGAAATCAACAGTGAGTGGGGCTTCACATCATTCATGCCTATCAGCGAGCTTTATGACAGAAGTGCTGGTTATCTTGTCAATGATGTATGTATTGTTGAAGCCAATCTTAATGTCCCAATCAAGGTTGAACACCAAGGAACAGGTATTTCTGCAACTATTGAATTTTCATATGTGAATCATGAGCAAGCTCTAGACTCTTCTGCAGAAACTAACGCGCCATGCTCTGAACTGTTATTTGCCCCCTTCCAAGATGCACAAGGTTCTGGACAAGTTCACACTGAGCCCCCAGTCGCTAGCCCTACTGACCCTTCCCTAGCCAGGGCACTTGGAGAAGTCCCAAACACCGTAACCGAAGAGCTTGTGGATTTTAGGGGTTTAGGGCGAATAGAGAAAGTTTTTGTGCCACTGCTAGAGGGAGTCTGTAACTCGCATCCTGAGCTGATTGTCTGTATGCATAAAAGAAGTCAGAAATATTCAGAATGCGCATTCACAGCTTTGGGCCGGCTTCTGCATTTTCTGAAAACTACAAAGGTAAAGGATATGACCCTGGATGCTTGTAACCGCCTTGAACTTCTGTGGGAGGAGCTTGAGAGCTTCAAGTTTGATTTGGCATGGCTGAAGCCTCATGTTGAATCTGCATTCGATATGACAAGGTTTGTACACAAGGCAGGCAGACTGAAGAGGCTGAGAGATGATGTGGAGGCTTTGGCGAATGAACTGAAAAGGAGGAGGGCTGCGCTAGCTGCTGCAACGATTGATCATGCAGTAGTGAAAAAACACTTGACAAAGGCAGAGCAAGACATCAATGGGATTGACATGGATGGCCCGTTAGGGTATGGCATTTAGCTGGCCTTATTTTGTAAGGCTTTCTCTAAGACAACGGCTACGGCACATGATGCCTTGCCTTCGTACTTCGTGTTGCAAATTTTCATGTTTTTAGGTATGCAATAGTTAACTAGGTTGTTGGAATTGGACAATATGTTTTTGATTGGTCCTTCCTTTGTAGCATATCTGAACTTTTGGTTGTTGTTTATGTAGCGCAAACCTTGCTTATTTTCGTGTTTTGAAGTTCTTAATTGTGTCTTATTTAATATTTTGAGGGTGATTATCGCGCATGCTTTATCAATTTTATTGTGTTGTTTTAATTTCTCTATAAGAATACACCTGAACTGTAAGGACAATCCATCAAACATAAATGCGCGGTGGAAAGGAACATTACTAATAACACCACCTTATCAACCTTCTAACCAAAGTTTCAAAAATCTCTCTAATTATATTAAAAAATAATAAAAATGAACCAAATCAAATGAGAGAAAAATTGTAACTATGTCAATTGAAATAAAAAAAAATTAAAAAAAAATTGAAGGAAAAAAAAAATAATAAATAACAACTGCTCACACACATGGTGTATGGGTCGCGGCTAGTATTGAGTAAATTTAGTCTTTTTAGCCAAAATGGTCTCTAAGATTTGCATAACACATCACTTTGTCCCTGAGATTATCCACCATCCATTATTTTGGTCCTTCCATTAGAAACTCCGTTAAGTGTCATGGAGCTCTTGGCCGAAAGTTTGGGCAATTTTCAAAGCTTCGTAACTCAATTGTTTCTTAACCAAATTCAATCCATAATATATTAAAATGAAGATAGGAAAGTGTAGAACAATATTATACCTATTCAGAAGCCCATTGATTTTTAGAGATGGCCGGAAAATAGCTTGAAAGGTTACTGGTCCACTGGAAAACAGGAAAACTCCTCGAAAACTGAGTAAACTTTAAACATTCATAACTTCTTCAATACTCAACAAAATCGAGTGATTCAAAAAAAAATCATACTTCTCCACAAGACAAAGAGAATGGTACCATTGTCGACGGCTAAATCACTTTGGTTTGCCCGAAAAATGGCTTAAAAATGGCTGCCTTGGTCTCGAGTTAGCCACTTTTGAGCCCTTTTTTGGCCAAACCACGGTGAGTTAGCCATAAAAAAAAAAAAAAAAAGAACTATTCTATTCCTCTCATTGAGAAGTATGATTTTCGTTTTATAATCACTTGATTTCGTTGAGTATTGAAAAAGTTATGAACGTTTAAAGTTGGCCCAGTTTCCAACAAGTTTTCTAGTTTTTCCATGAACCGGTTACCTTTTAGGCTATTTTCAGGTCATCTCTGACAACCATTGGGCTTTTAAATAGGCTATAATCTTGTTCTACACTTTCCTATCTTCATTTTGATATATTATGGGTCTAATTTGGTTAAGAAATGATTGAGTTACGAAGCTTTAAAAATTGCCCAAACTTCCAGCCAAGAGCTTAGGGACACTTAATAGAGTTTTTAACGGAAGGACCAAAATAATGGATAGTGGACAATCTCAGGGACCAAAGTGATGTGTTATGCAAATCTCATGGACCATTTTGGCTAAAAAGCTGTAAACTTATGTGAATTATGTCCTCATTGACAATTGAAATGTTACTTATATAGGCATTTTCCTTCCCTAGAAAAAGACATGGGAAATAATTTTTTTAGAAATTCTTTCAATTGCAGCTTAAGAGAAGGGAATTGGGCCGAGCAACATCATGAGCCAACCATAATCAGGTATCAAACTCAAGACAAATAATAAACATCCTTGTTATTTATATGAGTCGAATTTAAAACCTTTATTTAACTAGTTAAAAAAAGTAAACAAATGATACCTATCTTTTCTGGGGTGTGATATTCACATACCCTTTCAATTTTCAGTCGTCGGATCGGCTGAATTGAAGAAGATCAACGGACAGAAATTAAGAAAGATGTGTGGATAGCACACCCCATCTTTTCTATTTGCCTTTCCCTATTTATCTTTCTTACTCATAACTTGATACGTGTATTCCACTTACAAATTAAACTACATAATTAGTGCATTAAAATCATAGTTCTAATTATCCAACTAAAAGCATGAATTATGTAGTTTAATTTGTTAGTGAAATACACGTGTCAAATACGTGCGAAAGATAAATAGAAAAAAAAAAAAAAAAAAAAAAAAAAAAAAAAAAAAAAAAAAAAAAAAAAAAAAAAAAAAAAAAAAAAAAGGAAGCAGAGAAGGTAGCAATATGGCATTCCAAAAAAACCGTAATACTAGACTGTACAATTAATTGAGGACAGTCTTTCAAGTGAGGTGAAACAAGGACCAAGTTGAGGATAAATCAAAAGAATAATCAAAATCAAAATATAAATCGACAAACCCATTAAGAAATTTAAAAACGGAGGTTTTGTGCACACATTCTTTCACTTTTTGCATACAAGTTCTTAATTGATCTTGATTCTCCTTTAATTTGTTTAATTTAATGTTAAGAAAACAGAAAAATGTGCAGAACGTACAAAAAATTATATAGAATGTGAAAAAAAAAAAAAAATAGTGCAAAAGTCATTTTCTTGAAAGACAAATTGACATGCGGAGGTGATGGTGGAGTTGGATTCAGCAAGGGGATGTGGTAAGGTTGGGTTGAGGAAGATGGAAGTGGTGGGTTTGTTCTTCCAAAGGGGAGAGAAGCGAGAACTGGGGACGAGAGTCTGCATAAGAAATACAAGTGATTAATAAGTGATGTAATTTTTAGAAACTAACATAACGAGAAGTGAAAGACATTATTATATATATACTGCTACCATTGACGTAGTCGCAGTGGCCGCCACCACCATTTTTGTTACCATCACATTTCTATGGTCATAACCACCACTTCCTATTATCACCGTTGCCACCAAAACAACCACTGCACCACTGTAGCGAGAAAAAGTAGAATATTTTAATCAGGTTATTTTTTTATACAATAATATATTTATACTAAAAGTTAGGAGAATATTTAATTTTATTAAACACTCTTACAATCTCAAACTTTAAATTGAACAAATTCTTTTTTCAACAAAAAGAAAAAAGAAATGTTAGACAGATTATATGATGCACTGTAGCAAATGATATGTACATATTAAACATCAATTAATAAGTTTATCTCGTTAGATATTGATTATATAAATAATTAACCATATTATATAGTACATTAATGTGATATAAAAATGTAACCCTTCCTAATATTACTCAAAAGGACAGTTACAAACAAATCCTGCTTATCCAGTGTTTTGTGGGCCCCACATCATGCTAGACAATCAAGATAAACTTAAACATTTTTTGACCGGGGCATTATAAAAATTGGAGGTTGTCCGCACAGCCCCAAGAGCTGGAGCGTACTGCTCTGATGGAGTGTAATTCCTCTCTCTCTCTCTCTCTCTCTCTCACTCATCAGAATCATGGTCTGAAGGTACTTCTCTTTGTCTCTCTCATCGTCTGTCATCGTCGATCATTTGCATGTTTGTTTACATTTGTGTGGGTGTTTGATTTTAATCTCATTTTATTATTTTGCAGATGAACAGCAAGAAGGCAGGGGAAGAGATTCTTTCTGAGATCTTCACATGGCTGATCGAAAACTTCTCTAAGCTCCAGACCGGCAAGCATTACTCCGACGTCACCATCGCTGGTTTCAAATGGTATTTTTTATTATTTTCTCAAGATTCGTTTTTGTTTTATTTTATTTTATTTTGTTTTAAGTGGTTAAACTTTTATTTTTCAAAATTTCCAGTCACTTATATTGTTATATATCAAACAGTGTTTCCGGTACATTAAAATATCTCTCCAACTCCAAAGATAATTACTAAAATATCTCTCTAACTCCAAAGATAATTTCTTTTTATGAGTCCATCGACCTCAGAGCAGCTTCAGGCTCATATGTTATTTTCTTAATTAAGTTTTATATTTTATTGTTTTGCAAATTTGTCATGGTATTTAGAAACTCCACTGTCATTCCCAATAAAAAATGAAAGAAAGAGATCGAAATAGGAACAATCTAGAAGCTTCCACAAGTAACCCCATTCACATAGATAGCCCAAAAGGGCCAAACCCTAGTAGAAGACCAATACATGCCCTAAAGTATTAGGATCATGACCTACAATTTTAATATCGTTGTGCCCTTTGGTTTGATGATTTTGATTTGTCAGGAGGCTGCTTATATGGCCAAAGGGCAACAAAGTAAAATCCGAAATGCAGTTCTCCATGTATTTGTGTGCTCCAAATGCTTCAACTTTGGAACCTGGTTGGGCTAGATCTGCCCATTTCAGCTTGAGTGTAGTCAATCAACTGGACAGCTCCAAGACAATCACAAAGGCTACAAAGGGTATTTCCTTTACTCTTCATGAATCATGTTTCTGTTCTTTCTGTGTGATCTTGTCGTTATGGCAAGCGAAACTTCTTAAATGGAATTTCCATCCTGCTTCTGTTTTTGTTAGTTGTTGATATGCGACACGCGTCATTAATTGTAAAAGTTATGGTGCATTTGGGTAGAAAGAGTTAAAACAAGGGATGTGAAGTGAGTTTCTAGTATAAATTGTTTAACGAATCCGTTATCATTTATGTGACACACACGTCGTTGATTGTAATAAATTGAGGTGCATTTGGATAAAAAGGTTTAAAACAAGGGATTTGGAGCGAGTTTCTAGAGAGTTTGATCCATGCCAAAAAGAACTTAAATTTGAAGGTTGATCAAGTCCAGGCACAGCCACAAGGTAAGAATATTCCAAATCTATGGTGTGTGCGCGTGCATGTATCATATATATTAGAGAATTTGATTCTTATTAAATTGTGCTTCATTTGGTGTGTGACTGTTCATGGAAATTTTGTTCAATACTATTTGATTTGATATAACCTTTTTCGATTCAAATTGAAGAATCAGTTTGTCAGGAACATATACACAGTTCTGTTTATCTATTCCTATCTGTATAAAAGCTCAATCTCAAATACAGATTTCTCTAGAGTTTGTAAATTTTTTCAATCTATGTATGGAGCAAGGATTGTACCTACTCATTTGTAGCACTCCGAATAATTTGTTGTAGTTCATTTCTAGCTAATATAAATTCCTTGCTATTTGCAAATCTTGAAGACATACTATTCTAATTCTTAGGGATGCTTGAGATTTCAGAATTTTAACATATAATCTAACATGCATGGCTAGCTCTAACAATTAAATCAAAATGCAAAGCTAGATAAGGCAAATAAAAGCATAGGCTATGTTTCATAAACTAAAGCCCCTTCAAGATTTTGTTAGTGTATCCACATGATTTTTCAAAATCAAAGCAAAGAGATGAATAGAAACACTAACCTTGGGATCTTGATTTCAAGACCTATGTAGCTATTCCACCAATTCTTCTCCACATGGATCCACCTTGTCTAGATTCTCCTTTATGTTCTAAAGTAAAAACTCTAATGTCTCTACACCTTTTAGTGTTTGAGATGAATAATAGACCTAGAGAAAGAGTGGAAGCTAGTGCACCCAATTTTATGGTGAAGGAGTCAGATTTTCATGCTCAAGTTTAAGTTTGATGGAGCTTGAACTTTTCTCTAAGAAACTCTTTTTCTTTTTCTCTCTAGTTGCTTCGTTTTTAAATGCATGCATCACTTAATAAAAACTGAGCAGATGAGTGAGAATATAAAAATTTGTTTCAAGATACAAAGTCTCTCCCTCTACAAAGTTTGGCGAAAATGGGATAATGGGCTTTTTGGACCACATTTGCGCTTCAAGTCATCTTATAATAATTTAATAAATGCAATGGGTTCAAACCCTATAGGCCCAACTAATCCCAAAGCTATTTTAAGGCCCCTTGAGATGTATAAACGTCAAATTAATTAAATGAAACTATTTCAATTTATTTTTGACCTCCATCAAATTAATCAAACTAAATGCTCCATCATTTTGGGTTCATCCCATCCTTGGCTACGGGATCTATTATGTTCTAATCGGCGAGACAATGAGTAATAAGATGTTCTTTTAATCGTTTACGTGAATTTAAAATATTTTTTTAATTCATCATCTTAGTGAAGATAATAATAATTATCGTCGGGGGTTCATAGAATATGGGCCATGATTTTCTGTACCCATGACACATGGCACTTTGGATGGCAAAAAGAAAGTCAAACTCATCTTTGTGGTTAAGTATTTTATGGATCGATTATCTCATCTTCAAATTTCCCTCCTCAAGTTTCCTTCTTTCTCACTCTCATCTTTTTCTTTTGTCTTCTATAAAGAAGTCAACTCCATATATATACGTGATTTAATCGTGACTGTTTAAATAAGAGTACTACTAGACTCACCCTAGTGTCCTATTATCCCACCCACATGATAATCACACTTACCATAAAAAAGTTAAAAAGTAAAATGTTATTTCTCCACCCATAATTATTTCCAAAATGGCCTTAATATATTTTGTATGAAACTTTGTTTTGTTGAACAAAAAAGAATATGATTATAACATGAATTACACAACCACAGTCGCAAACGTCACTTAAAGGAAAATTATATGCTTATATAATACAAATCTTTACAAACTTCTCAAGCAATAACTAGCAGCACAACTCGACAACTAACTTACATTATCAGAAAAAGCGTTAGTGTCTTCTATGCGCGAACTTAGAACAAAAACTAACAAACTATTATGCAGTGTTGTCAGCAAATTTTTTGGCAATTATAGGACGAACATCATCAGATCTCCCTTAGAGACCCCGAATCCCAAACCACTCTTCCTCCTTTTCCGTCAAAGTCCCAGATCTCACCAACAAGTCTCTTTATCATCCGTTGAAGTTTCTCGCCTCTATCTAGCACACACCTATTCCTTCCTCCAACCTTTCTATCAATTGTAACTCAAATCTTTCCTAACCTCTATCCGTCCCAAATATCACATCCCCATCCACCATTATTTATTTATTATTTTTTATCTTTTTTTCCATTGCAAAATCGATGGTATGTGTGTAGTAGAACATAAAGTAGATGAGATACAATATTTACGAGGTTCAGCAAATGTGCCTACATCCTCGGGGCAGCACTAGTACTTTCTTTTATTACGTGAAATAATAAGAGTACAAAGATAACCCTCACTATTTTCTCTCTTCTCTCTAGCCCAGCTCACTGTTATTTTCTTCCTTATCTTTCTTCTTTCTCTTCTTCCTCTCCTCTCACTTCTTTTCTTTCTCTCTTTCTTTCTTCCTCCGTATGCTCTAATTTTATAGGCAAAAGATTACTGTAGCAACAATATTTGATTTACAAACTTTCTTCATATGAATGATAACCCATCTGATTTTTCTTTGGATGAATAGTGAAAAACTATTCATGTGGGTCATCCACATATTACATTACAACACTCCTCCTTGAATGGTCATATGTCAATTTTAGTTGCCTTGTTCAAACCTTGATCTGTTTTGGAAGCTCCCATGATGAGTATCTTCCCTTGATTTCGAATTCTTTAATTTGACTGACTACTATGTTGATGTAATCTGATACTATTCATGATAGTTGGAGTGTTTGCTTCTGAAAGTGGTTCACATGGCTCCAAATTTTAATGGCCCCAAGTATTAGCCAAATACATTCATGATTAGCTTCATGGAGATATGTATTTATGAGAGATATGAAGATGCAGCAAAGGATCCTTGCTTCCTTGATTATTGCAGAATCAATGTATTTCCATATGTAAATACAAATCCTTTATGAGAGCAATTTGTATGCAAGCTACCAAGGTATTCAAATTTTGCTTGCCCAATAAGACCATGGCTATTAATGAGTTCATTGAAATAGAACAAGCACATGTCTATAATTTCCTGGAGATATCGATAAATAAACTTTATTTCATTGCAATACCCATTTGTTGCTATTGTGCTCCACAGGAAGTGTAACACCTAATTCAATGTAGTGTGCTAAATACAGTGAGGTACATCCTTCACTAGGATATGGTACTCTGAGACCAAATATCAATTCATCATTTCCCTCATGAGGATGAATGATCTTTCTTAGTGTCTAAATATTAATTAACCACTTGAGTGTTCAACTCATGATCTTCAATCTATATGGTTCTTTAATAACATAAACATCATGGGTAAGATTCGTGTTGGCATATTGTTCGATCTGTAACTCAAGACAATATTATTTTCAACACTTTATAATTTTTCTAGACTCTTCAGGAGTCTCACTCTAATATCATCAACTCTTTCAAGAGATTTAGTATGTTGCAACAACATCATAATGATAGTACTTATTAAGGCAATTTATTTCATCTATTGGGATTGAGTACATAATTTATGTTTTACCTTTCCAGGCTTTCTTCAAGCAATCTAAGTCCTTCAGGAATTTTCTACACTTCATGACACATTTTCTTTTGGAATTTATACAGAGCAACTTGCTTCCATGTATACTTGAGGGGTTTACTTGTGGAGATATGCTTGAGGCATTTCATAAGGCTTTGTGTAATATATAATTCTCCATTTAAATGAACAAGTTTCACAATAAGAAATCATGTTTCCAGGAGTATATTACAGTTTCAAGTTTCAATTAAGAACCTTGTGTCATATCGTTTGAGTTTAGTTCACTATATTACAGATGCTCATATGTAACCTTCTGGGTTCAACATCATTTGGCGATTTGTACAATAGGTCCATTTTCCACGTTCTTGATAAATTGTAATGGAATTGCCTTTCTTCATTTTTAGCCAATAATTTTGCTTTTTGTCGACGATTAAAAGAATGTGACTCAATATCAACACAGCTCATTGATGAATTTAGTAGCTACTGAAAACCAAAATTAGCATTGGTAATCATCAATTCGTGATCCCATAATTCTCATGTGCATGTGCATGCATATTTATAATCATTTCATTACTTTGGATATCCTTTCCTCTTCTAAGACTGTACATTGTCTCTTGTAGGACAGTCATATCTTATTAGATAAATTGTTTGAGAATATGGATCATAACCTCATCTAGAGTGCTACAGAGCTTGGATTGTTAATCTTCACTTCTGAGGAGTTGAATTATTGGAACCTACACATCGATCATGCTTCAGGCATGAAATAGATTAAAATTGTCATGTCCATGGATTATCCCTTTTGAAACTTGAATCCATACAGCGACTATCATGCTTCAAGCATGCAATAGCTCAATAATGCCAAGTCTATGGATAGCCCGATTGAGACTTTAATCGTGCGGCATCTCTGTAACTTGTAATCAATTAGTAATTTTCATTACCTTTTTGTACATCATGTGAATGATATAAACTGGTAAAGTTTGTTGGGGATATGAGTAGGATTCCTATTCACTCAATCAACCATTAATTTTCTCCCTTTGGACTTCTATGGGCTCATCGTTAATCATTCTACTTCAATCTTTTGCGCAGTAGAATTAATGTGCAACCTTTGTCCTTATATGGTCCATCACTTCTTGGTGACTTGTCCATACTTGGCAACTTCAGTGTAAAGAGCCAACAACATACTAATTATTCTGCGGTGTTGGTGACTTGAGACCCAGCTTTAACAATAGTTGAAGATGACTACTCGAGAGCAATGCAAGTTAAGCAATCAAGAAAGGTTCCAGGCAATCGGTTCTTAACTGGAAGTTTGACTTCAAGTTTCGACTAATTGCTTTCTTTCTCTTTGCCTTGTAGGTAAGAGCAAATGCAAATGAAAAGACAGGGAAAGAGCATGATATGAGATACTCTTGCTCTCGACCCTAATGATATGAAATACTTTTGCTCTTGAAGGAAAACAATAGAAGGATTTGATGCTAATGTAAAGCTTCTTGATCATAAATTTTTCTTGCTGAGAAAATGAGTTTGTCATTTTGAGGGACTTGGTTGAAGAGGTATTTTCAGAGAAAAGTAAGACTGAATATGTTAAGAGGTTTGGGTGTAGATGCATTCTCGGCAAGGAAAATGAGCTAGGAATTTTGGAGGTGTGCCTTACCATGGAGGACGAAGGTCGACATATATAGGGATTTCCTAATATCAGGTAATGATGCGGATGTGGCCTTGTCACCCATGCTTGTCGGCAACAGTGGTGTAGTTAGAATAGTGAACTTTACGCGTTTTAAGTTTGCCAGAGATATTTTGATAGAGTTGTTCTTGATATCCGGAAAGCTGAGATTGCATCTGAGAAATGTTGACGAACTTTATTTAGGAAAATCCAGCTTTTGAAATTCGGAGAGCAGTGTCTTGATTTTTGAACAAGTGGCTGTGTTGCCTTTCTTTTTAGATATCAATTGTATCCAAAAACATGCTTTGAAGGTCGCCCGCCTATGAAAATTGTTTATGTTGTATTTCTGAGATTTCACTCTATCCAATCATTATCTTTAATCATTTTTGAAAATGGCTTGCCCTTCTAACATTTGTTTAGATTTGAGTTTCGGGAGTGATACACATGAGCCACGTTAAGATAATATATGGCGCCCGTCCTTTTTATCTTCTAATGGCCCTCTTACAGTTGGAGACTCTATGATGATGGATGATATAATAGGCTACAGTAGTAAGCTTCTCACTCCCAGATATAATAGAATACTTTCAAAGAGGTCTAATGAATTGGTTGTTCAAGACTCTTTGGCTTTGAGTGTTCAGTGTGCGAGTTCTGTATCCAACATGGGCCAACGTCTACTTGCTCGAACTCGCCAAGTCGAAACATTAATGGCTGAGATGGCAAGTCTTAGATAAGAAATTAGATGGCTCAAGCATAAGAATAAAGAGTTTCACAAACTTGCAAATATTTACTCGACGAGCATGAAAATAAAGCCCGACCAGCCGCTGGAATCCGAAAGTCGGATTCAAAGTGATCACCAAAGATTTGTGGCTATATTCTGAAGGCAACTGGTGTTTTCCCCTTTCTGGTGTTTTGCCAAGTACTAGAGCGTTACATGATCAATCTCCAGTGCCTCCCTCTTTTGGGGTACTGCCAAGTACTGAGACTTCACATGAACAACCTTTATGAAGGCCCCCCATTTGTTTACTTTTTGTTGTTGTAACTCATGTGTATATATAAATTTTTTTTTCTCCCATTTGATTTTATACATGTCAGAAAGCTTCTACTTTGGCTTATTATATATGGGAACCAAAGGAAACTTCTGGTTCCATGAATATGATTCAATGAGCCTTTAAGTATATATATTTTCTAATATCATATGCTTCCACATAAGTTCTCGAGCATTATGAATTCATGAAAGCATCTCTTGTGTGAGATGACGATGGTCACAAAATCGGGTTTTACTACGTTCACCATTTTCTTATTCCCAAAAGGAAGAAATTCAGGTATGACGGAAATTGCGATAATTAACTCATACCACGTATAATATATGCCCACACAAAATGTTAGAACTTCAAGTTCTTAACATTATTCATATTTTGAACTTCAAGTTAAAACATTATTCATATGTACTCGAAATTTATTTTCAATATTGACATCATTAGAACCTTTAGGTTCATATTTCTGGAGTTCATACCTGTACTTAATCTGTACATGGATGAAGAAACTTATGGTCTTCATTTACATGAAGCAAGAAACTTTTGGCCCTCATTTAATAGTTTGTGGACTGAGGCATTTATGGGCGTCACTCTATTTTAATTGAGGAACTACTGCTCTCTCAATTTATTCAAAAACTTCATGTTTTGATTTTTGATCGAGGAACTTCAGGTCCAATCTTTTTATATGATTAGGATCTAGAAACTCCATGTTCTAATCTGATTAAGGAACTTCGGGTCCTTTAAATACTCATCATAACAAAATGTAATACACTAAATAAGTTAAAGCAATATGCGGGAATTCCAGCCATGATAAATAAATTTTTTTTAAGTAAATAAAGCTTGTGACAAGGGCTTTGAACCAGCACCATTCACATAAATGTCAAAGTTTTAAAGCAAAGGGTAATAATTCTACCCACTGTAAATAAATAGAACTTGTGATAGGACTTTAAACCAACATATTTCATAAAACAAAAGTATCAGACTCTTTTAATAAAGAAGTGTACTGGCGGGTCCATTTTGAATATCATTATTTTTCTTCTTTTTTTCACATGGTGTCAGCACACCATTCCAAAAACCTTTTCTTCACATAGTGGTGGTGCCGTTATTACTTCCCACTATCAATTTTACTTTTTCTTATGGTGCAACTAAAACCACTCCATTCCAAAAGCTTTAGCCCCATTTCACTTTTCTTTTATTTCATCATTTTTATTTTATTTTCATTTCACAATTTTAAGTCCTTTTAGTCACCCATGAAGTAAAAGTAACAATTAGTCCCAATTGGTGTTCCTCCTCTGGTGAGTTTCGAAAAAATCGAAATGGTTCCCAAAAGTTTTGGAGTTAAGAGTAGTTTCTGCAAAATATGAGAAGATCAAATCATTAGATTTGGCTCAAATTTTAGTGTGATATGGATAAGAGGATATTGAACAACTTTCTTGAAGACATTTTCGATCTGAGCTACCTAAAATGGAGTTTTGCCACTCATAATATGGTTGTCCAGTTTTCTGCAGAATTGGAAACTGAGTTGGTGTTTCAAACATCTAGGACGATCGCAGTGTTGGAATTTTCTGAAATTTTTTATATGTTATAGGTACTAGGCAGACGAACAACTTTTAAGAAGGAAGTATCTCAATCTAAGGTTAACAAGTTGGAGTTCAGAAGCTGCTTTCATGACTGTCAGATTTTCTGCCAATAATAATAATAGTTATATAAACAAATGTAAATTTACCTTAAGAAAATTAGTCATATAGAGATATGAAAATGAAATGAAAAGATTTTTTTTATCTTTGGGATTACAGCCGACAAATGTGAGAGGTAGGTAGTGCTTCATCAGATTTATAGTGTACGATTTTCACTAACACGAGAGCTTCACGTGCAGATAACGTGTTATAAAATCAACGGTATGTGTGCAGTGGAACATAAAGTAAATGAGACACAATATTTACGAGATTCGGCAAGCGTACCTACGTCATCGGGGCAGCAATAATACTTTCTTTCATTATGTGAAATAATAGGAGTACAAGGATAACTCATACTATTTTCTCTCTTCTCTCTAACCCAGCTTACTGGTATTTTCTTCTGTATCTCTCTTCTTTCTCTTCTTCCTCTCATCTCTCTTCTTTTCTTTATCTCTTTCTTTCTTCCTCCGTATGCTCTCATTTTATAGGCAAAAGATTACTGTTCCAAGACTATTTGCTTTACAAACTTTCTTCATATGAATGATAACTCATCTGATTTTTCTTTGGATGAATAGTAACAAAGTATTCGTGGGCCATCCACAAATTACATAACAATATTTTCCAAATTTTAGTAATTAATTAAATAAGGATTTAAAAGTTTTCTTACAAAAGGATAAATATGTTATTAAATAGGTGAAAAAATAAGACATTGGGATGGCAATATCCGCCCCTTTTGTTAGACATAAAGCAAGAGCGTGGGTGGAGGATGGAGCGACGATCATTTTGGTGGTTCGTGGATGATGGAGCGGCGTTTTTCTTCCTTAACTTTGGGACTCGAGATGGTGTGATGGCAGGTCCTTATGGCGGAGATGGCTTCGACTCGTTGGGGAGTTTCGATGGCAAGAGGAACTGCTACAGTAGCCAATGTGGTTTAGGGTTTCTTCTGTTGTGTGGTGTGTTTGTGCTGGGTCCTAAAGCTTTCTTGGGCTTTGGTTCAATGTATGTTTTAATGTGTGTTTTAAGGGTCCATTTTTTCTTTTGTTCAATGTATATTTGGGCTCTTCATGTGTAATATTTATTTGTTGGTAATATATTTATATTTTCTAAAAAAAATTAATAAAAAAGTTTGAAACTTTGAGTTTTAACAATAAGAATAAAATAAAGGGTAAAATGAATAGTACTAAGATTGACTTTGAGTTTTAACGATAAAGACAAAATAAAAAGTAAAATAAATAGTACTAAGACTAATTTTTTAGCATAAAAATATGATTTTTTAACTAAAGTTCAAAAAATAAAAAAAATAAAAAATAAAACCACGAGCGTGGGACCCCTTTGGACATTGCTTGACTGAGCCATCATATAATTGGAGGTTTTGTACTCAGAGATTCCGTGCTGCAGTGTTAGTGTGTGCTCTGCTGGGGAGTGGAGAGTATTTTCCTCTCTCTCTCCCCTCTCTCTGTCTCTCTCACTCTCTCTCACCGTTGATCATGGTTAGGATTGCTATGATGGTTGGGTGACCATTTTTATGGGTTTTATTTATTTGAATTTTTCTGTTTTGTAGATGAAGAGCAAGAACAAGGAAGAAGAAGAGGTGTCTGGGACATTCACATGGGTGATCGAAAACTTCTCTAAGCTCAAGAACGAAAGGCATTACTCTGACGTTTTCACCATCGCTGGTTTCAAATGGTAAAATTATTCTCTAATATTTTGGTTTTTTTTTTTTTTTTTTGATTGTGAACACTTCAAGATCACCTTTTTGGTTTGATAATTTTGATTTGGTCAGGACGATCCTAGTATGGCCGAAGGTCAACGAAGTAAATTCTGAAATGCACTTCTCCATGTACTTGTGTGTCCCAAGTGCTTCAACTCTGGAATCTGGTTGGACTAGATTTGCCCACTTCAGCTTGAGTGTGCTCAATCAACTGGACAGCAATAAGACAATTACAAGGGCTACAAAGGGTATAACTTTTACCGTTTCATGTTTATGTTCTTTCTATGTGATCTTGTGGTTTTGGCAATCGAAACTCATTGAATGGATTTCCTTGTGCTTTCCATCATGATTCTGTTGTTGTTTGTTGTTTATATGTGACACGCATCGTTCGTTACTTGTAACAAGTTATGGTGGATTTGGATGGAGAGATTTAAAACAAGGGATTTGGAGTGCGTTTCTAGTATAAGATTGTAAATTGTTTTGCTGAGCGTTGTCATCTATACAACATGAGGTGTATTTGGATATGTAGTATAACTTGTTTTAACTGATTGATCTGGAGTGAGTTTCTAGCATAATTGTTTGACTGATACTGATCACTTATGTGGCATGCGTTGTTGGTTGCAATAAGTTATGGTGCATTTGGATTGAATGATTGAAAACAAAGAATTTGGAGTGAGTTTCTAGTACAAATTGTTTAAATGATCATTATCTCATTCATGCGACACGCGTTGTTGGTTGTTGGAACAAGTTTGTTGCATTTGGATATAAAGATTTCAAACAAGGTTTTTGGAGTGAGGTTCTAGTATAGATTGAGTAGCTGATCTTTATCAATGAAACCATAATTTTGATTTTCGGATCAGTTAGTTTGGATGTGTCATCAAGAACTATTTAGAATTTCTCTTCCTTTAAGCTTTGGTGGTGATAATATTTATTGGATCCCAGACTCTGATTTGTTTTGCATAATTATATGGATGGTTGTCAATGTTATATGAGATTTGCTATGGATTTGGGACACTGGTGGCAGCTTAGTTTTTATTTTTTCTTAAACTTTCTGGTTTTAAAGCTAATGGATTTATGCCTGGGTTAAGTACGTTTACACATGGAAGGAAGTCCATCTCCAAATATGTTATTATAATTAGCATGAGTTCTTGATCATTGATTGAGGTCATCTTTGTTGACAATTTGCTTCTGTAGTAAATTCCCAAATGGACTTCTTTTATTGTTTTTTCCGTATTACCTTTGATGTGCTTTGCGTACCTGATTAAAGTTTTGTATTCCTTTATATTTTTATTCACAGGCTCTTATAAAAAGTTCAAAGAACCCACAAGTGAATGGGGCTTCAATTCATTCATGCTGCTCAGTGAACTTTATGACGAGACTGCAGGTTATCTTGTGAATGATAAATGCATTGTTGAAGTGAAGGTCCATATTCCAATATACCAAAGAGCTAATGGTTTTGCAGAATCTGCACTTATGGAGCCCGAAATGAAAGAGCGTGGTGGGCAGGAACCTTCACATGTGCATTCAGTGCATACTCCAGAATCTTCTCCGACACCTAAGACACCAAGTTCAGAACCGCTGACTCCTTTCCAAGAAACATCAGGTCCTGAACAAGTTTGCACTAAGGCTATTGTTGAAAGCCTTCCTGACCCTTCTCTAGTCAAGGAGGTTGAGGAAATTCCCACCAAGCCAACGGGGGAGCTTTTGGAATTTCGTGGGTTGGGACTAATAGAGAGAGCTTTCTTTCCGCTGCTGGAGGAAGCTTGTTCATTGCATCCTTTGTTGATTGAGTGCGTACGTAAGAAGAATCGTAAAGTTATTGAATGTGCTTTGACAGTGCTCGGAGGGCTCTTGCATTTTCTTAAAACAACAAAGGTAAAGGATATGAATGGGGATGCCTTTGCTCACCTTCAAAGTTTATGGGAGGATGTCGAGATGTTCAGATTTGACTTGGCTTGGCTGGAGCCACATGTTCAATCTGCTTTGGGTATGAAGAAGTTTCTGGAAAGGGCTAGGAGAGTGAAGAGGTTGAGAGAAGACGTTGAAGCTTTGGATAATGAGAAGAAGAGGCGGAGTGCTGCCCTTGCTGTCACAGAGGCAGAGCTTGAGGAAGCGAAGAGAGAGTTGGCTAAGGAGGAAGAGGGCTTCAACGAGAAAGATATGGATTCTGAGCTAGGTTGTGGTGAGTTAGCCTTATCGTAGAAGTTTCTCTTTGATATAAGTTGTAGGACGGACATATGAGAGAGATAGACATGAATAGTAAGCTAGTTTTGGGAACCGTTTATATATTTCATGGTTTAGGACTAATTTTGTGCACCTTCATCAACTTCCTGGTCTGATCAATTAGGCAGGATGTCCGTGTTCAAGTGAGGCACTTGAATTTACTTTCATAAAAAATGCATCTTTTACTTTGATATTGAAACTTAACGTTGTTTCTTAAGATTTCGTACAGTGTTTCAAGTTGCGCCTTTCATATTTCATCGTTTTGTTTTGGATTGAACGATCTAAATTTTGGAATGTTGTGCTCTGTGCTAGAGAGACTTGCTAGACTTTTGTTTCTTCTTTCTTCTGGGTACTAGATTCTTGCTGATTTACTCGTATATGCTGTCTCTGCAAGGATTTATGCGAATAGTTCATTATTTCTATCTTATATCTAAGTCGATTTAGCAATATTTGTCGATTCATTTTTTGGGACGTGATTCCAGCAAAGTGGAATAGCTAGTTGGTTTATGTAAAGTTTGTTTTTGCAAAGTGGAATTAGCTCTTGGTCTTAGTGGTGATTCTCTTTCGCATGTTAGAAGAAGAGGTCTCAAGTTCGAATCTGATATAATCTTGTAGATCGAACAAGTATTTTGCATGACCGCACATTTTCTTTTTTATGCCAATATATAGATCAAACAATTGGAAGCTGAAGCTACTTCTGCCAAGGTGAAGTGGACCATCTCAAACTCGACTCGAGATTAATTAGCCCGATAAATTTATGGTTCTTGATTGATGGGTTGAAATTTTTACCCCAATTGCCTGTATAAAAGTAGTAGGGGTTGAGATCCTCTCCGGATCTCCTCCTCCCTGGCGAGGGGATCAAACAATCCTGACCATTGTAGGGGCGTGTTTTGATTTCCTTTTTCACCTTTTGCTCTGCCCTTCTTAGTTCTGTCTGTAAATTCTCTTTATTCTATCTAATAATCTCTCATTTAGTTCTTCTCCCGTTCTTCATTCAATATGTCACTTTACTACTTATCTTCAATGCACTTAACAATTTGGACTCAAATCTTACAATTGAGCTTAAATATGAGTCCAAATCTCCCTAATACATCGCATCCCGATCCTGGTGTTCGAAGGACAACAGGATAGCCACGTGCTGGCTGACACCTGAGGATGGTGCAAGGCATTTATGAATGCATATGCCGAGAACATGAGAAACATGCATATAAATTTCGCACATGACTACACAAAGTAATATTCAAATACAAACCTTACAAAAATAATAGTGATAACGCATGACATGTTTAAAGCATACTGCTAATTCAGAATACGAGCAAAAGTTATAATAGAAGGTGCTATTACAAGAGATGTCCAACACGGAGAGGACACAAGCTCACTGGTATGGGAATGCCTCGTAACTCAGATTGTATGCCTCATTCCTAGGTCCTGAGGGGGCGCAAAACAAAACATGAATGGACCAAGTTTATATATAAGTAATACTAAAACAGTTATTCATCAATGTACTAACCCCCAGTTTAGAAATCTCAATAGCATAATATATAATAGGTTTTCCCAAAACCCTAGCATGCCATAAAACTTCATAAAACATATATCATATATAGTGTGCTAGTAGTCGTATTAAAATAGCCCAAAGGCCGTCACTCGCCCGTAGGCCCTGCATCACCCGACTGAAGCCATATATAAATCTTCATTCTCCCGTAGGCCTTACATCACCCGACCGAAGCCATATATAAATTTTCATTCGCCCGTAGGCCCCTACATCACCCGACCAAAGCCATGTATAGATATCATTCGCCCGTAGGACACATAGTATGAATACCCACTGAATAAGCACATAAAAACATGAACATAATATTTCCAAAATATATGTATATATCTCAATGGAGCTCAATAGCTCAAACATCATATCTTAACTCATATTCGTGAATATCTCAATAAATATAAATCCAGTGAAGCATGATATTTCATAAAGCGTAAATCCAATTTACTCATAAACATTTCATAAAACGTAGTCATAAAATCATGCTTTTCATGTATGCATTTCTAGTAATAAAATCATGCATTTTGGAAGTGGTCCATTCACAAATACTCGTTCGTCAAAGAGCCATGCGAACTAGGGAGGACGTAAACGTCACTAACAATGCACCTAAGCACATAAGGGGACTAATTAATAAAACTATACTAAGACGATTGAATATCAGGAAACGGACGTGATAAAAGGATTCAGGACGTTGAAAAATCTAAGGGGGAACCTCGGGTACCCCCACCTGCCACCGCACGCACCGAGTTAGGTCGTCGGAAAGTTGGCCAGAAAAGTCGCCGGCACCGCTGTAGAGCCTAAAATAATCCCAAAAATTCTAGAGGCGACACGTGGACTTTTATTCAAGAAATACAAGATTGCCCTCAATAAATGGGCAAGCTTCTCAGATGCTCCCACACGCAGCTCACATCCTTGGAGATCTCAGTAGCTGAATACGACTGCCTACATCTCACCTGCCTTTGGCAAGGAATTAAAAATAAGGATTAATTACCCAAATCCTATCCTTAATACATTCCCATTTGAAAATTGACTCCAATCAAGTAAGTAATCCTAATATAAGTCAAGTAAGTGACCACGTGAGTTAACTGCTCCATCGGAGTAGCCTACTCAACCACCCTTCTTACATCAAAGTTTTGCAAGACGCCTTAAGCAGGCAAAGGCCCGAAGCTGAAACTAAAACCTAAGTGACAACGTGGGATCGACTGCTTTGTTGAAGCAGTTCACCCAACCACCTGTCATATGGTAAAGTTTCGCAAAAGACATGGCAAAATATAAGGATGAAGCAAAAACAAAGAAAGATGTTCATTAAATTTCTAGCAAATTGATAAACCGGCTTGAAGGCCAACAAAGTTCAAGCAAAGCAGAACAAAAAAGAAAAGAAGAAAAACTCCTAAGTCTAAGCAAAAAGACTACTCCTTGGCAGCTTGCACAACCACTGGTTCCTCGACTGCCATTCCTTCTGCAGCCGCTCTACTCCCAGCAACTAAAGCTCTCATCAGCTTATCCTCAACCCTCTCTGCTTGGACTGCCTGACCCTCAGCTGCTCCACCAAAGGTAGCCTTAAACGAGAAATCAAGCAGGTCAACTAGAGAAATGGAGAAAGTCTCGAAGTTATTCTCGGAAAAACTCATAATCTGACAACCTGCCCTAAAGATGGTATACATAGCCAAGCTTGTAGAAATTGGCCTGACAAGAAGCAAGCGCTACTTCGTGACCAACTTTCTTATTCCTCATCTGTGCATTCTCCTCAACAAGCCCAGTGTGAGCACCTTGCAGCTCATTTTTCAGGTTCACGCTAGCAGACAACACACCTTGCACACTTATTTCCTTAGACTCAAGCTTACTGGCAATCTCTTTAAGATGAGACACTTCAACATGCATGAAGATAAGTTCCTCGTACTTGGCAAAACAAGCAGATCGTAGCTCCAAATTGACACGCTCAAAGTCCTCGACCAATGAAGAAACACGACTGATTTCCTTCTCTGCAGCTTTCAACATCGCCTAAGTCGCACTAAGCCTAGCATTTAAATAAGAGGCCTCCTCATGAGCGATCTCTAACTGCAAAGAAGTAGGGGCAGAGACATCAGACCCTTTCAAAACAGCAGGTTCAGATTCAAGTTTCTCGATCTTTTCAGCAGCCTAGCGAAGCTGAGCCATCAATGCCACTCCGGCCTCCTTAGCACACTTAACAGCATCCTGACCAACACGCATAGACTCAGCTGCTATGATTAAAGTCTTATGCATTGTAATAATCAGGGATGACCTCCTCGAGTAGATGAGACATTTCGTAAAAGAGTTTGAGCAGATAACAACTTTCCCAACGCTGTCAACAAACTTGACGCATGCATCGACATCCTCAAGCAGGTCAACCTTCAACAGCGCACAAACATCAGGAAACTCTCCAGCCTCAAACTCGGTGGATCTCTCACAACTACCTGTGCGAACAGATTTCCCCTTCTCAGCAGACGAGTCGATCACGACAGAAGGAAGAGTAGGCCCAGACGCCACTTTAGCAACATAATCCACCTTTTCACTCTTCATAGCGGCGAGCCTCTCGGAAGCCGATCCAAACTTAACTCCCGACGAACGCTTCAATACAAACTTGGACACCGGAGGCACCACCGAACTCTTTCGCTAGGCAAGTCTTTCAGCAATGGATGCGATCACCTTCAAATTAACAAGTTTCACAGGCTCAGGCTCCACGGTTTTCTTCGCTCCCTTAGGGAAAGTTAGATCAATAATAAGCTTCTCGGCAGCAGACGAGCTTCCACGAGTAGCAGAAAAAGTCCTTGGCTTTTTCTCGGTCGAAGGCTCATAAGCAAGTGAGGAAGATCTTTTCCTTCCACCGTCGTTAGCAGCAGGCTCTACAGCAGCGATCGGGCAAGCCAACACCTCACCCTTTATCCGCTTTATCTCTTCCTTCTGCAGCAAACCATCTTTCTCTCAACGAAGAGGGCTGAGCAGCCAGCGTCACTCACAGTACTCAGTAGGAATGCCCAAGGCAACGTGCACTTTCTTCATATATGCCGAAGTCCTTGGGGTTGAGCCAAACTTCGAATATACGCAAAGCAAGAAAGACGATCAATAAATTGAAGTCATGGAGCATCTCAACAAAAAATCAAGTAGGACAAGAATGAAGCAATTCACTTACCACTAATAAAGGTAGTCGGCACACGCAACTCAGGAGAAGAGTCAGACTCTTACACTCCGCTCACCTTCAAGGTATTTCTCGCCCATTCATGATCACATTTGCTAGAAGCATCGAACAGCCTATGGCGATATCTCAACTGTCCTAGACCTTCCTTGTGGCTGATCTCAAAGAAGTACCAAAACTCATTTACGGTCAAGCCAAGATCAAAGAACCTGCTCAAGTTTGAGAATCCCACCATCACACGAACTGTATTTGGGGAACACTAAGCAGGCACACATTTCAAGGAGCATATCACCTCTTGGAAAAGATGCGGCATGGGAAAAGTAAATCCCAACACAAAGTAGTACGGATGGAATTTGATAGCTCTCTTCCTAGCAAAGGCACTCTCGCTGCATGGTTCATAGCCGTTATCATTTTTCACCCATTTGATGCTAACCCCAGACAAAATCGCATGCTTGTATGCCTCAAGAAAATCCCGAAATAGCTCGTCGGAATTAATCTTGACATGCACAACTTTGAAGTAACCCCCTTACCAGAAGAACCACCTTGACGGTACAAAGGTGAAGGATATTCGTCACTTTTACGATAGGAGGAAGATATCTTAAAGTCTCTGCAAAAAGTACAAGGGAAAATATTTAGAAGATTGCTCGAGATGAAAGAATAATAAAAAAAATAAAAAAAAGGAGGAGGACCGTAAGCCCAGCGCCCCCACGCCAGGCCTCATGGCCCTCATGCTCTCTCTCATTCCTTACACATGGCCTAAGTCACTCGGCCCAACAGGAAGGGAGACCCACGCCTCTTTCATCTCCTCTCATTCACGCGCTAGGCACCCTAAGGAGTAACCTAGGATTCTCGGATCAGGTCACAAGCACAAGAGGCTCGGCCCATGTCGGTCCCTCTCATTCTCTTCCCGCCAGCCCAGGCTCCAACCCTGCAGCCATGAAGACCAGGCCCAGACTGGTCTCCCTGCGCCTTAGCACATCGTGCCACCTGGCCCACGCCGCCAACACCTTGACAAAGCCAAGCCAACCTGTGTCGCGCCACCTAGCAACCCACGACCTCCATATTGTGTGTCATCAACCTCCTTGGCACCCACCAAGTCAATTTTTCAAGTCCCTAGACTCCAAAAAAAATTCAAGAAGAAGAAAATTAAAAATTTTCTTACCTTGGTGCGGCATGAAGAATAAGAAGAACAACGAGAAACAACTCTTTGCAAAGGCAAGAAAAGAAAAACGCTAGGGGAGGGGGAATAAAAATTTCCTCTGGCTTCTCTTTCTTGTTGTGAT